TTTGGAAATGGGGATGTGGAAGAGTGGTTTTTTTGCCGTACCTTTTTTTTGCCGTATTTGATTTTTTCGGATTGGAAACAGGGACATTGGTTTTTTATGATGTTTTTTTTTGCCGTGGGGCGGGGCGACGCTGACGATAGCTGTAGGGATTTTTTAGGTGTAATAGAATTGGGTTGTGAGTCAATTTTTTTTATGTAAACTTGTTCTAGTTATTATTATTATGACGATTCTTATGTCTGATCATTCGCTAGCGTCAATTTGGCTGGCTCTTTCTTTCGCCCACCTTCTCGCTTGCTTGCTTGCTTGCCTTGCCTAGCCAGCGTCGCCGCGCCACGTGGGGATTGCCCTCGCCCGCCTCACTTTCCCACGCGCGTGGGGACCGCCTCCGCCTGCTAGCCCGCACCGCTCTGTGGGGACCGCCCGCCCACTTCCCGCGTCTGCTCGCAACATGTGCAATATTTTGATCTACTTTTATAACATCCAGATAAAACACATGCAACATACGTCAGAAATAGTTGAAACACTTGCAACATACGTCTGAAACACTTACAAAAAGCACCTAAAAATACTTAAAAACCATTGCAAACATACGCAACATCCAGACAAACCACTTGCAACATGTGTGAAACATACGCAACATTTAAATAACACACTTGCAACATACGTATAAAAAAACAGATGAAACATTGGAAATAGACGCTAGCAACATATGGGTGCAACCACTGCAACATATGCAACATCCCGATCTACTTTTACAACATCCACATGAAACACTTGAAACATACATCTGAAACAACTGAAACACTTAAAATATAGGCTTGCAACATGTCTAAAAACGCATGAAACAATTGAAAACACAATGTCGCCTCCGGCCATGGCCTACCTGGTGGGGAACTACGGTGGTGCAGGCCTCCCCTTCCTGCCTATGGCGCGAGCTGGATGGGGGCATATGCGCAGGTGCAGGCCTCCCCTGCCTCCCCTTCCGCGACGGGCGAGGTTGATAGGGGCGCGGCGTTGGATGGTGGCGCGGCGTGAGTGCGCGGAGCAGCGCGAGAAGGGGTCAGGTGCCTCGCGAGAAGGTGCCGGCCACGCGGGAGAGACGTTGGAGCAGGCGCTTCATGCTAGGCAGGGAGCGGGGAAGAGAGAGCATCCTGCTGTGACCTTGCGGTGGCAGGGTCGTCTGGAGGTGCGGTGCAGGGAGGGGCGGTGCCTGGAGCAGGAACGAGTGGACGAGGATAGGACTAGACGAGAGGTTTTTTTAGAAACTCCCGAGCGGATGGGTGGGAATAGTTGGTTGATGTTACGGCCCACCAAGGAGCGCCCGGGCGGACAGATGCCCGTACCGTAGCATTACCGCTTGTAATAATATTGTGATTTGATTCCTCTATCTAGAGGATGAAACCGAATATCTTCCCACTATTTAAAAATTACTACTTCCGTCTCAAAATAAGTATCACTATGATATTCATGCCGGTCAAACTTTTTAAGTTTGACTAAGTTTGTAGAAAATATTAACAATATTTATATCTCTGAATAAGTTCTATTATGAAAATAGATTCAACGGTTTATCTAATATTACTAATTATATATTATAAATATTAATATATATTTGATCAAAGCTAAAAGCGTTTGGTTTCCTGAAAGATGAAAACGACACTTGTTTTAAATCACGTGGGAAGCCACGGACCACAACATGGGCAATATATTTGAGCAAAGCTAAAAATATTTGATTTCCGAAAAAAATAAAAACGACACTTATTTTAAACCACGTGGGAAGCCACGGACAAGAAGATGGGCAGCTACCCATCTCTAGTAGAGTCTAGAGGCCTGGTTTGCATGCTGTCCTTATTTATTTTCTTGTCTGAACATGAGCTTTCAGAAAAAAGACCCACGTGAGTAGGACCCACTCTCATAAAAAAAGATTTTTCTTAAAAATGGCAATCAGCAACTTCATCGTTGTTTCCCGAAGCGATCCTTTCGTTTTTTATGCCTCGTGGATCGATACGTGCAGAGAAATCTGTTCTTCTCTCTAGTGTTTGATTCCATTTCTCCAGAGAGATCATGATTCGGTTCAGAGGTGGCAAGCTGTCTCACGCAGTCATGCGCCAGCCACTCGAGGTGGCCTAACACGAGCCCGATGTCCGTATGCAAATTTGTATGCACCAGAACTAGTTCAGAGAATTCTTCGGAGCAGCTTCATTTCATCGAAATGTCGATGCACTTCTCATCACCAGTGTGTGTCAGCATAGAACAATAGTAGGAGCATGCTCCTCTGCTTGTCGATGAAATTAATAATCGATAGGAGCGTGGTGTGCTTTGTGATTCAATCAACAGCTCCCCCACATAGTCCGCAGCAGACGCTTGATGCTCAATTGCTCATCCCCTTAGTGTTCATCATCTGCAGTTACCGTAGGTGTCGGTGTTGAGTGCAGACTAGTGTGCTTATGAGTAGTGACTACGACGGATCCACAATTCCGCATTCATTCACCATGAGCAGATAGATTCCCTATCCAGTACTTGATGATGATGCCGGACGACTAACAGTGCTTAGCGAGTGATTAGCTACTAGCTGTTTGCTGCCAACCAGCTACAGTGCCGGACGCTTGATGCTCAATTGCTCATCCCCTTGGTGTTCTTCATCTGTAGTTACTCAGTATTTATCAGTGCAGACTACAGCACTGTGAGTAGTGACTACGAGGGACCAAAATTCCACATTCATTCATTATGAGCAGATTCCCCCTATGTAGCACTTGATGATGCCGGACGACTAACAATGCGGCAAACAGAGGGATCCACAATTCCACATTCGGTGAATAGCTGTTTGCTGCAACCTGCAAGCAGGTGTGCATGCGCATGGGTAATATTTCGTCCAAGTCAAAACAGAGAAGTTACTGTACCTTGAAGGAACTGTTACCTGGTATTTCGTCAGAACGGCTAAACACCATCGAATTTCAATGATTTTTTGCATGTGAAAACTGAGAACCCGCTCCAGGGACGAGGCAGATGACAAGAGCAGATCAGATGAAGTAGCTGACTGTTGACACTAGAGTCGTACCACGCACCGAAAACACACAAGCACGTCACTTGCACACCCTGTATGTAATCAGGGGCAGACGCTACAACAAGATATGGAGGACACGGATAGTTTTGATCGATGAGTCTGTCAGGAGACTAGGAGAGGGACTGATGGAGCTACACAGTAGTTCAGTACTGGAAGAGGAGTAGACGTGCTGTACTTGCATGTTTCCAAGGTCTCATATATAGCAGCAGGACGAAGAGTCGACGACGTATAGCGCGTGACGGCAGCAAAACCATTCCATTGAATGCGCTACAATGCGGAAAAGCATGTGTGAAGGTGAAGCTACGAACCAGAACCACCAGTGACCAGCGCACAACGACCTGTGGGATATCTACCCATCCACGTCGCGCTGTCGCAACTCGCAATAGAAAGGTTACCTATAGAGAAACAACCCCATGACCTTGCTCCTCTCGGAGTAAATTTCCCAGGGTCCACTAATCGCCGTCTCCCAACAGAGAATGCGACTATCTGAGTGATCGGGACTTCGGGAGAGCACTGCACAACCAGTTAGCTGTCAGGCAACGATAGGCCGAGCACAGGCTGCAGCGATTGTATAGATGTGGGCTCTTCGGATTGGTTTTTAGTGTTGCTACTCCCTTCATCCCAAATTGTAAGTCATTCTAAGAATCTTGGAGAGTCAAAGTTTTTCAAGTTTGACCAAATTTATATAACAAAATAATAATATTTATCATACCAAGTAAGTATCATTAGATTCTTCATTAGTTATATTTTCATATTATACCTATTTGATGTCATCAATCTTTGTGTTTCTCTCTATAATTTTAGTCAAACTTGAAAAAGTTTGACTCTCCAAGATTCTTGGAATGACTTACAATTTGGGATGGAGGGAGTATATTTCAATATTCGTGTCCATTTCTTCTCTTTTAATATATGTTGATGAATTTCTTAAAAAAGAAAGAAAGAAAAAAGGTTAGCTGTGAGGCTACGAGACTAGCAGCAGCTGTTTCTTTGCTCATCCATTGTGGAAGCTGGGCCTCAGACTGGCCTATTCCTTTTTTTGCTGTTTTTTTTATTTCCTGTCTCAACATAACCTTTCTGTTGTACAGGACCCAGGGGTCTTTTTTCATGAGTCAATGGTGTTCTTAGCATCTTTGATGATAAATTATGATTTTACCACCCTATTTTTTAAACTTTGTGATGTGCCCTAACATTTCGAAAATGAATATTGAGTCTACTTGTATTTTGTCATGAGCATGGTATATATACCATTGCAGATTTGTCCCCTTGCTTTTTAGATAATTTTTTGATTTCATTGAGCCTGCTCGACTGCACTTTTTACAGACAGCCGCAGCTGCAGCGCTGCAAAAAGTGCAAAAAGTGCAGCTGAGCAGGCTGTTACTTTTTTCCATATCAAGTATTTTGACAGGTTTCAAAAGTGCACTAATAATAAATCTTGATAGAATTTGTGTATGATCTCAAAATTGACTGAACTTTGACAAATTTTTACAACACAGCTAGCATATAGATTCAAGCAGAAATCATATGTGGCAACCATCACATTGTAGACACTATTATTCCTAGACGGATTTTGTCTAAACTAAGGGCAGATCAGTGACGGATCCAGGAATACTTTTAGGAGGGCCTGAACAAAGAGCGCTACAACGACGTAACTCCACTAGCATTGCTTGAATTAGTGTGTGGAGTTGTACCACTACCATTAGCATTGCTTGAATTTGAAAAATATGCGTGCAGAGTTCTTTTTGACATTTTCACTTTTCATGTCTTCACAAATAACCATATATAATTATGAATTTGCCAATTAAATATTCAATCAATTCTTAGACAAACAAAAATCAAATCACATTAATCACAGATTCACTATCACAAATGTTCACAAAAAAAAAGATTCACTATCACAAAGACCAATTGAATGGCTTTTATTAGGAATTAAGGGGTATACCTAGCCTGTCTGTGGTCTCCTGAGGCTGAGGCTGAGGCTGAGGGACAGCCGAGCAGAGGGAGTCTGGGCGTTGACGCGTTGTGCTCTGTTCTGCTGCTCGCCTGCTCCGTTGCTGGCTTGCGGCTTGCTGAACCCCGCCCGCGCCGCCACGGACCCGCGGTTCACGGGCACCCGGTGGCCGGCGCCGCTGCCGCAGCTCTCGCGCGCTGTGCTGCCCTGCCCGATTGCCTCCTGCTGCACTCTGTCCCGCCGCTCGAGCTGCCGCGCCCCGCCCGCGCTGCCGCGGCTGACCGACGCCCGCGCCCCTGGCTGGCTGGCTGCTACCGCTGCTCCTGCCCTAGCCCCGCCGCCCGCTCCGCGCTGTCTCTCGCAAGAGTCGCGATAGGCAAGAGTCGGAGGAAACAGTCGAACATGGAGCTCGTTCCTGTCTTGTGGGCTGTAGTTAGTGGGCCACTTCATCTTACTGGGCCAAATGGCTGGGAGTGCTAAACGCTGGCCCAACTCGTGAGAGGTCGTCTTCATGCTGCATGGTCATAAATCTCAAGTGCAGTCTAAAATTGCAGTCAGGAGCAGGATATGTGCCAATTTCGACATAGAGAAAATGAGTGAGGTAAGGAAGTTCAAGGAATTGCAGGTTTGTCTTGACAACAGAGGTGTTTGATGAACGCCATAACAATGTTGTGTGGGATTCAAAAATGCAATCTGACATGGACACATATGAAAGCCTGTTACATGGCCTTGAGTCACATGACAATATATTGCAGCTTGTAGCTCAGCATACAGAGTGTCCAGCTGGTGAGGATAGCTACGCGGTTGCCAAGCCAAGTACTTCCATAATCGTGATGACAATGAAGGGAGATGCAATGGAGCTGTTTGATGACATGCATCGCAATCGACGTGATGATATGTGGGACAAGGAGATATTGCATGGCTTTGGTTTGTGCGATGGCTTATTGCAGCAGTTAGCATTGGGTAGAAAGTACAGGGATGATGAGTGGATAGTGCTGCATGTGCTCAGTTGTGTTGGGCTGATATGCACGTTGGTGAGAGAAAAATTGATCTGTATGGCATGAAACTTTTGCCACAAGTCTTTCAGGTTCTGTTATTATGTGGCGCAACATCAACAGAAAAGGCTCACTTCAATTTATCAGCCACGAATTTGGAGAAGTGCTTAGACATGTCTTACTATCAACTTGAAGGAAGTTCTTTTATCGTTCCATGGAGCAAAATCAATCAAAATTTTCTGAATGCACTGCCATCTTGGAGGTGCAATGGCATCTGTTTGGACGACAGTAAGAAACAGATGGTGATACTCCAGAGACTTGTTTGTTCTACAAGGCAACATCATCCAGTTACTACTCTGCTTTGTTGGATGCCTCATTCATTTCGGAGAGCTGTTCAGAATGGAACTGTTTATGTTGCCAAATTTGTGGGAGGAAAAATGGTTACCGCTAGAAAATTACTGCTTACTTCAGTGAGATGTTACCAATCAAATATGGTTCAAGCTCATATAAAATCAAGGAATCAGACTGAATTGTCCATCACTATACAGTAGTATTCCTCAATGGATGAATTCAAATGTCGGTACCATTTATTAACGAAGAAAATTTGCTGTCAGTCACGTGATGCCTTTGCTTGGGGACCAGCAAAGTTTCGAGGCGGCGGTAATGTCACACCCATGATGAAGAGCAAGAAGTCCAATGCTTTGACTGGCAAGTGGGTCCACCAGCCATGGGACCCAGGTGGAAGATAGGACCAAGCCTATATACTGCCCATCCAAATAATAGAGAGGGGAACAAAAATATTTGGCGAACACGAACCAATGTCAGGAATGCGACCTTTCTCCTGGTTACCGAGATCCCCTCCTCCGATTTCTTCCTGTAATATCTCACGTCACCGGGTTGAACTCACCGGCGGCCATGGGTTGTAACAAGATTGGCCTGAGCCCCTCCTACAGCTACATCTATGGCTAAAAATCATGGGGGGGCCTTAGGGGGCTCCAAGTGGTTAGAGGCGGGGGCACCCCTCCGGTTGCGGAAACCGCGGACGGGGCGATGATCATAAACCGACCCTCGACCGGACCTCTGCTACGCGCGGGGGCTGAAGGAAAGTTGGATTTGTAAGGAGACCAAACGCGCGATCGTAGAACGATGGCTTAGAACCTAGGGAGGGGGTACGTGCGAAAACAAGAGACGTTTTCTCCTACTGATTTCGCTATCCTCTCCTCGATCTCTAGTGACACCCGACTCCAGCAACGGCAAGGGGTCGGGTCTCACTCGGGGGCTGATAAGGGTACACATACACCCTTTTTGAAACAGTCGCCGCGCCCGACCTCTTCCTCATGTTAAAACTAGTGGCAAGGTCTGCGGAAACGAACGACTGAGCAAAGCTGGTCGGACCGCAAGAAACCTACGCCTCAGCGGCTACGGCACTCTTGCTTACCAGCGTGATCAGAGTTTCTCTCCTACACCTCGGGCCCTACGGTCTTAACAAACGGAAGGGTCGGAACACATGAACCCCTTTCCACACATAAAGAGAGAGGAAAAACAGACTTAGTCAAACGAAACAAAACTACAAGTTTGTTTAAATGATACAGAGGGGGCAGAACTTGTCCATTTGTTACAAAAATGATTACCCGGTCTATCTGGCTAACTAACCCCTTCGGGGGAGAACTATTCTCTCTATTTTGTCCGCCAGGTCCTGCGAAAGGGGAGCCACCGTCGTCTCCATCTCCTCCAGCTCATGGGCTTCATAGCCAGGCGCGAAGTCGTGTCTCATCGCCTCCAGGTCGATGCTGTCCCGTAATGAGAATGAGCAATCATGAAGGATTGATTAACCCCGACGCGAAGGGCATTCCTCTCGAGCTGGCGCACCCGGGCCATGATCTCGACGGCACGGGCCACGCGAGCGAGCTCGTCCCCTCAGACCGCACCACCTCAAGGTCATCGCAGACCACTCCAAGGGCGGCGCTCAGGATACCAAGCTCGTCGCTCTCGCCTAAAGATTCCTCCTCGCCTCGTCAAGGTCCACGGCCAGCCCAGCAGAGATGCTCTCGGCCTCCAGCTTCTGGGCCATCATGTTTCCGAGCTTGGCCTGGAGGGAGACGACCTTCTGCTGCGCGTCGATGCATTCTTGGCAGGCCTGGTCACGCTCCTTGCGAGCCACGCCACGCTCCAAGCGGAGTCTCTCCACGGTCTAGAACAGCTCGTCCCGCTCCTTGCAAGCTGGGCGACCGCCGCGGCATCCAGACTCGCCCTCTTCTCTAGGGCAGCGAGCTTCTCCTCGGCCTCTAGCTTCAGCTCCCTCTCCTTCTCAACCTCGGCCAGAAGGTCAATGATCCATCGGTGGGTCTCGGCGTCCTTCTGGAGAAGCTTGTCTCGCTCCTTCTTCACCTTGGCGGCCTCCTCGTTGTCCCTCCGTGATCTCATCGACAGGGCCTCGAACGCCCTCTCGGCCTCATCAGCATGCCGATGGGCCTCGACCACCCGCGAACAAAGACTCTCCGCCTCCTCGGCAAGGGGAGTCAGCTCGGCCACCCTCTGCTGGGCGGCGACAAGCTGAGCGGTCACCTCCCCACGTAGTCGTGCCTCCTCAATGAGGCGGTCCCAGGTTTCCTTCTACTCATGAAGGAACCGAGACTTCTCTCGGTGTGAGCGATAAGGGACTAAAAGAAGATGATGGTCAGAATACAAAAAATATACAGAGGAAGAAAAGGGAGAGAAGCAGGGTCAAGCGAATACCCGTCGGAAGGAACGACAACGTCGCGCAAGGCACCGGGCATGGTCTAGAGCTTCGAGCACGGACGCGACCCCCACATCGAGGCTCTCCCGCTCCATGCTCTCGGCGTCATCGTCGAGGGTGAAGAGCATAGACGCCGGGTCCGGTGGATTTGTCCACCGGAGCAGGCGCTCACCCCGAGCAGGTAAGTCATCGCCCACCGACGTCAGGGCCAGAGACGACTCCCCGTCGGCTCCAAGCGCCGCAGAGCCCTCTCGCCCTGATGTTCCCGCTGGGATGCCCCCTCCGGCGACGGAAGGGGTCAGCGGTACGGGCGCCGACCTCTCTCCCAGCACCATGACGCCCGGGGACCCCTCGGCCACGTCTCCCTCCGTTCGACCCATGCTAGACTCCATCACCTGGGCTGCCAATGGAGCAAGTCGCACCGGTACCTCAGGCGCCACCACGATAGCGCCCCGCTGTGACCCACCGATCACAGCCACCACCACCTCCACCTGCATTGGTGGGGTCACGACCGGCTGCGTCGCACCCACCGTGGTCGGCGCCACGAGCGTGGTCGATAGCCCCGCCCGCCCCGTCGTTGGCAACGGTGTCGCTGCCATTGCCGGCTGCTCGGCGACCTCCGAAGGCGCCCCTTGGGCACCCACATCCGCCCGTCTCGCCGAGGGCACGGGCACCACCATGGACAGCACCTATCCGGCCGGAGGCATGGTAACACTACGCCGCTCCCACCCGAAACGGGAGCGGCACCAGCTGACGGCTGCCTCCTTGCTTGGAGCGCAATGTTTTTCTTTGGCGCCAGCATCAAAGGATTACGCTGCCTCCTGACACTGTAGGAAACGAAAAACATAAGTCATGATGAAATCCACCCAAAATAGAGGAAGCAGGGGAACTGATAACTTACCTCAGCACCGTCGGGCGGCATATACGTTTAGGGGGTGAACCCCCCAACCTCTGCTCTGCCTCATCGGGGCGAGGCCGCTTCGAGCCTGTCCCCTAGTCCTGGGCAGAGGGGCTCAATCCCCTTGACTCTCGAGGCACGGCAACGGAGCCGCCCGTCTCCGCCAGCATCTTAGACTCCTGAGGGAGGCCGACGGTATGTCTCGCCTCCGCCAGCTCCCCGGACGTACCCTCCCCTCCGTGGAATGGAAAGGATCCTGACTCCTGCAAGGGCGAACCACTAACTGTCAGCGCGTCTTCGTTCTCCAGCATGCCCCACTCGACATCGTCGGCTACCTCATCGTCGTCGTCGTCATCGCCATCACCATCGGTGTCCTCCCCCCATTCCCACACTTGTAGCTTTTGCTACCTTTTCCTCCTCTTGTCCTCCTTTGCCTTCCTCAGCCGCTTGCCCTTGGCGCAATTCGCCGCCCTTACAGACGAATCCCTCAGCAAGCAATGGCGGAGCTCATGGAGGTGATCCATGAAGATGAGGTCCCTCAGTTGGTCCCGCCCCCCTCAAAGTTAGTATCAAGAGGTCAGGAAATCAATTAAAAAGGAGATATGAGGAGGGGGAACTTACGAAGATGACGTGGCCTAGTTCCGGCCGCATCGGAGGATGCCCCGCGCACTAGGAAGACGAAATCGAGGGGGGCACCCGCATCGTCCCACGAGGGCTCCATCGCCTCCTTGATCTATTGCGCGATCTCAGAGTTGGGAAGCGCCCCCTCGAGGAGCGCCATTCCGTCGAACGACGCCTCGAGCTCCATCGCATAAAGTAG